GAGCCAGAGCCCGAGAGCAATCACAACAAAGTCCAAGCGAGCCCCACCAGGGAGAGGAGGACTGAGAGAGCCAACTGACCCACCAACTCACTGATGAACAAATGAGCTAACACACAAGCTAATGAGCTAACAAACAAGAAAGCTATAGCCCCCTAGCCCACTCCCAGCTTACGTACTGAGCATGCTGTGCTATGGACTGAAATACTCCATTGGTCAGTTTGGGGTGGCTGTCTGAACTGTGTGTCCCCCCACACTGCCTGTAGTGAGAAAGCTGGGAACGCAGCTGCAGTATCAGAAGCTAAGAAACACCTTGAATTGCTGCAAGCACTCCCCAGCACCAAAAACCAAACACCTTATCAGTACTTTCCTCAGAGCAAATCCAAACCAGCTTCATACCAGCTACTGTGAAGAAAATTAACTCTGTCCTGACTCAAACCAGCACATCAGGCTAGCAGAGAAGTAGAGAGGAGTGAGACCAGAGGCACTCAGAGAAGGACATTATAAAGACCCACCAAGCAATCATCTCAAGAAAGCCCCCCTAATCAGTGTGTTGCTGCACTTCTGCTAACACCCAGCACTTGTTCTTTGTACAGGATGACAGCCTGTGTCTACTGTGAAGGCTTTCTGTTCCCAAAGGTGCGCAGGACCGCGGCAGACCTATGGTCCGTTTACTCCAAGCCTGTCCCAGCAAATGGCAGAGAGCTGTGGACCTTGTTTCTGCAGTGTTCTTGTGTTACAGCGGTGATAGGAGTCCTCTTTTACAACTGGATGTTTGCTTCTCTGGAGTACTCCTGGCATCTCTCCACTGCAATGGCCGTCTCCTTCAGTCTGCTCCTTCTCCTGACCCTTTTCTTGGTGCATCCTGCCCGCTGTGTCTTCAGTATGATCATGCCTACGTTAGGTACCAAACAAGGCCGGAAGCTTCTCTTGTCAACCTGCATCACGATAGTGGTGGTGAACATAACACCCAACATCATAAGCAACATTAAAACCATACTGCAGGTTATTAAGTGCATCTGCAAGAATTCCTCTGAGAGTCTTTTGAACTCAACTGCTCTGATAGAGACAGCTTCCTGGGAGTTTGGGGATGCGATCCGTGAAACCGTTCATGTCATTAATAGTTATAAGCCTATGAATGGACATTTTCAGTTTTCGTTGCTTAATAACAACTCCATCATTTACCAACAAATGCACCTTGCTGGTGAGAAAATTGGGAGGGACTTCTTGGCTGTTGAGGTGCTGGTCAAAGACTCTGTACAAGTAGGCAACAAGCTGGTTGCTGGCTTCTCTGTGCTCTATCTCTGTTTTCAGTCCTCCTGGTATTTGAAAAATTATCTCACCAAGCTCCGCTTTGACAATTTTTACATCACCAAGAAACTGGAGCGCTTAGCTGTGGACAGAAAAGCAGCTCATCTCCTGGTGGGCTCATCCAAAAACCTCATTCGACCAACAGGCTTGAAGTTGTCCCGCGAAGAAGCGATGCTGTGCCTCGTGCAAGCCATGCTCCTCACCGTGGCCCTGATGCTGATGCTGGTGGTCGTGGCGATGGACCACTTTGCATTCAGCGTGGCAGACACCGCGGTGAGAAAGACAGCTCAGTTCTCCGCGGTGCCTGTTGCACTCAGCATCAAATACAGTGTAAGTGCTGGTGTCCTCTGTCCTTCCCTGCGCGGGGACCCTGCTGTGGATCACATCACAAGAGGTGGTGGTGGGATTGGGGCCTTTGTAGCCTTGTTTACAGGATCCTTCCTCCCCTCCCCAGCAGCCAGCTGGACAAGCAACCTAACAGGTTTGGGAGGGAGGAGGTAGAGGCAGAGGCACAACCTTGGTTGCTCCTTCCAGTGCAGCAAGTGGGAGCATAGACCCACTCCAAATTACAGCCCTGTGGGAGTGAGGAGGGGACCAAATAGTGCCTCACGCTGCAAAGACACGGCTAGCATGTGGCAGGCAGACGTTCCCATATCTCCAGGCCCCTTCCCTGGGCAGGGTGGAGGAACGGGCATCCCGGCAGCACTGCGTCACCGCTGCAGTGTGGGTGCAAGTCCACAAGGAAAGGGGAAGTAGATGAATACACAACTCAGTTGTGAGGATGTCTCCTCCTCTTATTGCATTGGCTGTTCTTTAATTGTCACCCTGTGCAATCCTTTTCACTAACCTCTCCAGTTTCTATCATTTAAATATCCTTTATCTGGAGTAGGTTTTTTTTAGTTTTCCTCTTCTACCATGCCTCCCTCCCCAGGCCTGGGGTTCTGTAGAGATACCTGTGAGATACCTGCTCATGATAAAGTTACAGTAAAAGAATCAGGGCTCAGAAAAAAACCTCTAATATTCAAATATGCAGCCACTAATATTGCATTTTGTCTTTCATTGTGAATCTCACACAGTGAATACCTCTTATGATGCCTGTGACAGGAGATAAAGACGACAGGTAGGAGTGGGTCTCACTGTGCCAAGAACTCAGTGCTTACACATCACTGAGTTATTCGTGCTCAGCCTGAAATGTATATGCGCTTCAGTGTCCTTCTCTCAATGTAAAAACAAGCTGTAGCAGTGATTACACACCCCTGGGCTGATATTTTTGTAGTAACCAATTGATTTTGGTTTGTTCATACCCGATTTAACTTTCAACTCTCTTTATTTCAGGCTAAAATAGGGATCCTGCCTTTTCTTCTGACAATTTTACGGCATTCTTACAAAGAATTACCACTTCAGGACTTTGAAAAAAGCTACCACCATCAACTGATCTTCAGCTCTGCCTACTGTAAGATCAGCCCCCCAACACCTCCCAACCCCTCTGTGCTGCTCGTTGTGGGGCTGCTCTTCTGCATCCTCTATGCCATCGTATTCCTGGAAACCTATGCACAGCGTCTGTGCAGAAAAATCGCAGGCTCCTTCTTTGAGAGCTGGGAGGAGAAGCGAGCACTTTACCTCTACAAGAAGCTATCCAAGAAACACAAGGAGAAGCAAAACTGCGTGAGAAACTAAAGGTACTTTTGGAAGTACTGTACATATTTATTAGGAAAAACCGACCCCAGTCCAGAGCAGTTCTCCTTGTATTCTCTAGTGTTTCCTTCAGCTCCCACCAAATTTTAACCATTAAAGACTAATCCTGTAAACTTTGCTTTTCTAGGCTGAAAAATTCAGCATCAGATGAGCCTTTATTAGTGTAATTACATCTGCTTAAAGGACAATAATCAGTGTGAGGTGCTGCTGCTCTACTTCTGCCTCCAGAGTGGCAGCCTTCATAAACCCTTCATGAGACAGAGATCTGCTCCCATTTCCGTTTTGCAGAAGAGAGTAAGGACAACATTTTATAAAAAGTTCTTTGGTGGGTATCTCACCGGTTTCAGCAGGTTCATTGACAGGCAACCGTGGGTGGCAGAGCCCTTCTTGCCTGCCTTCATCTAAGGATCAATTCTCCCACCCTCATTTGGACATCTGCCATAAGAGGCAGTGGATTGTGTCCCAGGTGACATCCATCTCCTCAGCCTTGTGACCCTCCTGCAGGGCTTTTAGCTTAATAGCCACGTAGAAATCATCAAGGGAAGAATTTGGGTTTGGAAGGTGAGTACCTTGCAAGGTGCTGGTGAGGAAGTGAGGGTTGGGCAGTAGCTGAAAAACTGGCTTTTGTCATGGTGATGCTGAGGCTTGTTGCTTAGAAAGGAGAGTAATAAACGTTGTGAAGTGTTGCACTGTGCTGTGAAGTGTCATCTCACCAGTGTCAGTAGCGGTTTGCCTAAATGTGGGAAGGAAAAATTCACTTTGATAGCCATTATGGTTATTTTAGAGGTGAAGTTGTACTGATGTTCAATCATGTGCATGTTGAAATCTGATATCACTGAGAAATAAATTCCCATGGAAAGCTGTTAGCACGAGTACTCTTGCCTGAGTTAATGTCATCAAATACAGATGTGTGTCATACCCACTGAAGTGATGAACCTGTTTTGAGGAGAAAGGGGATGTTGAAAGCTGTCTCTTTGCCATTACACCACTTAACCCAGAGACCAGATTTTCATGTGAGAAACTAAGCCGGGGCAACTGGTGCAAACATGACGCTTGAGTGGGAGACTCAGGGAAGAAGATCTCTGAGTGGTTCCCAGCCTGACGGACCAGCAAGGAGAGTCGTGAGGAAACCACAGGTATGGAGTTAAACCTGAAGAAGTGTGTGGCAGGGGTGAGACCCAGGGCAGCACGCGTGGGGTGAGAAGAGGGGACCTGCCCGCACGGCTGGAAGGAGCTTAATCCCTGCAGTAACTTGCTTTTTCACCTGCCTGGGGGGTGGCAGCGGGACCCCAGGGAAGGGAAGCCCTGAGGAGCAGAAGATGCTCTGACATTCCTTGCTTTGGCAGGAACAGCTTGTGCAGCACATCAGCCATTGCTGGTGCCAAGTACGGTTGCGATGCTTTCCCTGGGCTGGGGGCTGGCGGGAGGCAGAGCTGCTGGAAACTGCTTTGCCCCGCTGTGGTGAGGTGTTGTTCCTCAGCAGGGTAAGGGCATGACAAAATACAAAATATTACCCGTTATGGAGTCATGCTATGTTCTCGAGAGGGAAGCTGCCTTGCCAGAGTTTGCTTAACGGTGCAACAGAGAAATACTGAACAGATTTAACCAGCAGGCAAAGTTAATTTATTCACATATTTTTATTAGGTAGGGCTAATTTACAAGCCTCATTATTTGCTAAGGGATTTTCATTCCTCAGAGCCCCTCCAAACTCCAGCTCCCTCCCATTTCGCAGGCAGGAGGATGTGGAGGGTGAGGTTTTGCTTCCACCTGTGAGCCCCCAGCACAGGGCCTGGAGCCCACCGGGCAGGTCCTGCGTGTCCACCTCCTCCGTGGGGGAAATACCCACTGGGCAATGCTGCTCCTCCACTAGCACGTTCACTGTCCTGCCTGCCTCCTGCAGGGAAGGGTTTTGTCACATCTGTTTCTAGGTTGGGAAATTGATGAAGGGTCAGACGTTTGTGTGCGATGAGGCAGAAGCAGGGCTGGGGTGCTCTGGGGATGGGGAGCATTTGGTGGTGGGTACCAAACTTCCTTGCTGTTGCTCATCAGTGCCAATGCCAGCTCACCTCTTTGCTGATGCCAGCCTTGACCCTGCTGACCTCAAAGCTGCATCAGCTGCCACCAGTGGAAACGCTGCCATTGATTTTGGGGGAGTTGGAGCAGCCCACTGTGTCTGCAGGTGCCCTTCCCTGATGCTTGCTGTTACAGAGCTGGATGCTGCTTGGGTTTTGCTGTGTATTTTTGTGGATTTTTCATAGATAAAATATATGCTAAGTTCCTGCTTATGGCTGGCTGGCAGTCAAGAATGAATGGTTTTAATGTACTGAGGAGCAAGTGTAAACTATTCAGCTAATACAGTGCTCTAGGAAAGATCTTATCCATAGCCACAGATCTGCATCTACCAGGGCAGACAACCAAGCAAGTAAAAACCTCTCTCCAGAAGTATTTGCTGATTTTTAAGCAAATTACTTTCTTATTGCATTTATGGTATCTACAGTATGTGCACTGTATTTGCAATGAAGAAAGGAAATATAATGAACATAAATAAAAGCTATTTTGTTGCATTGTGCATCTCTGCCCTGGATGCATGCCCTTGCTCACAGTGCCATGTGAGGCATCAGCAAACACATGGAGCACTCCTCTCTGTGGGAAGCATCTTCCTGGGATGTGAGGTGCTGGTGATTTGTACCACGATCAAAAGTGTCAAATGAAACATCAGTGAAGAAAAGCTAAAATAATGCTGATGCCAAGTATTCAAGAAGGGGAGATCATCTCTTTCTTTGATATGACTGCTGAAATCATAGAATCCCAGAATGGTTTGGGTTGGAAGGGACCTTAGAGATCATCCAGTTCCAGAGCCCCCAGAAGCACGGTTCAGAAGCTGATGCTGTGTCTGGCCACAAAGAATTGCTCTCCATGTCACCAGAACCGCTCATTCTGGTGGCACAAGGCCAGCTGGCACCAGGCACCCGAAGGGGAAATGGTCCCAAATGGATAATCCCATTTGTAGCTTCCATAGAAATATGTAAAAGCTCCCAGCAGTGATTCAGTAACGCTGCTTTCTGCGAGTCTGCATCTGGGGTCACAGTGGAGGTGGGCAAGCCTGAGCCTTCAGTGAGCCATGCCCTGCGCAGGCAGGCACCGGCCGAGTTAGTGCTTATTGAAGGGAGAGTTTTGTGCACGAGAAGCCCCGTCTGAAGGCAGTTCCTCATGCGAGCACTGCCTCGGGCAGCAAGAGCAGCTCCAGCCTAAGGCATCTACCTGTTAGGCAAGGGTGGGAGACATGAGGAAATTCCTCAAAGACAGTTGGTGAAGGGGAAAGCCTCTTTCGAAGGAGTTTTCCCTGCCTGTCCCACAAGGAAAGCTGACTCCAGAGCCTCGGCTGGGCTGTGAGATTCTGCTGCCTAAATAAGAGTAAGAAAAAGGGATTATCAAGATTATCTTTAGAGGTAAGAGGTGATAAACCGCTTCCTAAGTAAGTGCAAGGTTGCAAAGGCTGATTTGAAGCAGCAAAGAGATGTGAGCATCACGCTATCCTGAACCAATTCCTGGTACTGCTGAAAAATGACCGTTTCCTGACTTGGGGCTGAAAGCACAAATTCATAAACCCCCAGGACCACTGTGCTCCTGCAGTGTCTGCCCTGGCTGACAGATGTGATCCAGGACTGTCAGGACCTGATGACCAGGTGTCCCATCACTCCTAACATGATACCCAGTGATCATCTGGAAGCAACTGCCAGGAGATGTGATGTGAATCGGGAGCTGGCATCACAACTGGTTCTTGGTTTTTTGAGCAAATTCTCATAGAGACCAAGGTTTTTTCCCAGGGAGGAACCAAAATGTGGCAAAATGAGCTGGAGATGTGAGAGAGCTGCAGGGAGAAGGGGAACGATTTGAAATTCATAGGTAGAGTTTCCCTAGTCCTGTCTCGTTCAATGCTGATTGTGTCAGGGTTTCACCTTGAACTCAATGCCTCACATTCTGCAACAGAAAAAATCTAAATTAGTTTTAACAGGCCTTCAGCCTGCAAGAAAAGGAGTGGAAACAAGGAAGAAGCAAGGCTGGTTATCCTGGAAGACTGCTAAAAGCCACGAGGTTGATACAGAAGCAAATCCTCCAGGCAACTTTCTCAGCCTCCTGATCTCCAGGACTTTGTGTACGCCACGGATTTCCGAAGGTGACGGGAGAGTTGACCACCAGCTCACTCCTCAGGCACTCAAAGAAGCCCTGAGGTGCATGATTTCAGCCAGCAACTCCAGCGGTTTGGGGGACCATGAGCTGTCATGGCATGTTGAGGAGATGCTGATGACATGGAGTTAGCCAGAGATTTGTCTCCATCACTTTGCCGCCCTTCCCAAGAACCAGGGAAGGAGCAGTTCCAGGTTTCTCTGCAGATGAGCAATGAGGAAATGAAATCACCAGAAGAGATGATTTCAACATGCAAACATAAGGTAGAAAAAAGTACCATGTTTCCACACATTTCTTATTTATATGCTGTTCAAGTCAAACATACAGTAATTCCTCATCCTACCTGGAAATAGCTGGGGAGATGTTTTCATATCTGAGGAGGGAAAGAAGCCAATTATGTGAATTTATTTCCCAAGAGATTTAAAAAAAATGCACAGCAGTATGACTAGTCAGGGGTAATCCATGACTCGGGTAGGTTTTCCTTTCCTTGGAAGTAGATTGAGAAACTGAAATGGCCAAGTTGAGAGGCTGAAAGCTTCCTCTTTCTTTGGTTGGAAATACACCGCTCAGACAATAAAGCAGGAACCTGGCAAATTAAAGGAAGGAGCAGGTCATAGCTGAGGGCTTGGCTGGGCTGAGCTGAGTCACATTTTCCTTTTACGAGGGGACAGAAAAAATTGCTCCCTGCCTCCGATGCTTTGTGCTCTGTGCTACCAGGGGATCGGCAGCGCCAAGTGTACAACCCCAGGTAGGTGGATGTGCGGGGTGGGGGGGACTTTTGG